CTCCGTCCTTTTCTTCTTTATGGGGACAATTCAGATTTTTATGTCTGTATTATAATTTTATGGGCTTCCTGACTTATGTCAATGGGTCCAACCTATAATGTACAAAATTGGGTTAAAATATTTTCCTTAATGTCTAGTGTATGTGTCAATGCTCAGCCTCTGTGCTCAGTATAGCGAATGCCACATAACACAGTCATTTTATCCAATGTTCCTGCCCATTCCACATCAACTTATTATTCATGTTGGTCAATACGAAGACCAGGAATAGCAGTTCTGCTATCTCCTGAGAGATTAAATCCCTTCCGATGCCAGTCAAAATTTATCAGATGTTCAGCTTTTAGTAAAATAGATGACTAGCAGATGTTTAGAGAGTGAGAGTCTCACACCACTTCTGTGATCAATTTGCAATTGGTATCTGAAAAGCATCTCACACATCTCGGATCTGTCTTTGTAATGTATCATATAACCCATCAAAAATCACCTTTGCAGCCCTAACTGGTTTGGCTTTAGTGGATGGAGCGTTGGCCTGCGCACTGAAGGGTCCCAGGTTCGATTCTCGGTCGGGGCACATGCCTGGGTTACGGGCTCGATCCCCAATTGGGGGCGTGCAGGAGGCAGCTGACCAATGATTCTCTCTCATCATTGATTTTTCTATCTCTCTCTTCCTCTCCCTTCCTCTCTTTGAAGTCAATAAAAACATTTTTTTAAAAAAAAGAAGGAGAGGCCGAGAGTGTGTATTTGGAATAGCATTGGTCTGGGAATTGGAGAGTGGAATCCTAGTTGCAAGGTCTGCTATGAGCCAGCCCAGTGATTCTGTGAGTCCCTGAACTTCTTGAACCTCAGGCTCTTTATTTGCAGAGTGACAGGGTGGGGTCAGATGAGCTCTAGGGGTTCTTCCAGCAGAAAAATTTATGATTTGAACAAAGGACAAAAAACACCTGCCCATTGAGGTTCCCATTGCAGGAACATTATCATCAAAAGATGGCACATAGTGTATTGGCACCAACTTGCTTGGGAGGGTTTGTGTGTAGGTGTGTATCTATAGGGTGTGTGTGTGTGTGTGTGTGTGTGTGTGTGTGTGTGTGAGTGAGTGTGTGAGGCATACCTCCCTCAACAGCCATGCCTCTTTGCTTGAGGGTCTGATTAGATCTTCAAAAGAACTATAAAGCTGAGGAACCTCCCCAAAGACTGGGCTCTACCTCACAAACCCACATACCTTGAGAAGGGAAAGAAAGCTCAAGACTAAGCAGTGCTTTTACTATAGAACTTTCAGGGAATTGTTTATATACACAAAAGGGGAATCTGAAATAATGGGAAGAACTTTTTGTCTTTGAGTCATCCTATATAATAAAACCCTGATATGGAAATTGACCAAACGACGGAACGACCGGTTGCTATGACGTGCATTGACCACCAGGGGGAAGACACTCAACGCGGGAGCTGCCCCCTGGTGGTCAGTGTACTACCATAGGGGGCGCGTCACTCAGCCAGAAGCCGGGCTCACTGCGGCAAGTGCAGCAGTGGTGGCGGGAGCCTCTCCCGCCTCCGCTACAGGAGGGCGGTAAGGAGCGAGGGGTCCTGGACTGTGAGAGCCCAGGACTGTGAGAGGGATGTCTGACTGCCTGCTTAGGCCCTATCCCTGGGGCCTAAGCTGGCAGGCGGACATTTCCCAAGGTTTCCTGGACTGCGAAAGGGCACAGGTCAGGCTGAGGGATTCCCCCCAGTGCATGATTTTTGTGCACCGGGCCTCTAGTAGAATATAATTAGCCCTTTGTTTGACTGTCAAAGAAGTTGGTGTCCTTTCTTATGTCTATAACCACTCATTTGATTACCTTTTTATCTTTTTAGTTTTCCTCTGATTTATCACATAATAATCACTTCAAAGTTTTAAGATATTTATTACATCAAAGTTTCTGACATTTTGGTGCACAGGGTATTTTGCATAATGAAATTCTGTTTGAAATGAAGGCTGTCTGCTGTAAAGAAAGAAAATTCTTTATTTAGTAACTTTTAAAAAAATTAACAGCATTTTATTATTTAGTAACCTGCTCCAAGTTCTGCCCACATGCACATATCACAGGTACCTTATTCACAGTTGAGTTTCTGTGGGCAGAGCTGCTTCGCTTCATTTGTGGTCTCCTGTCTCAATGTTTGAATTCCCTCAGAATGCACCTTATAATTTCAGTAGATGTAAGCGTGTACGAGTTTATTTATGAAAGGCCCCAGGAATTCAAACACATGAATCTGTGCTTATTTATGTTCTGTGTAGCTAATGACCAGAGAAGTCTTGCCTGTGACATCTAGTTTGTGACTGAATATACACAATTCTACTATTTAAAGAAAACAATGGCCATCTTCATAAGAGGCTACTCTAAGGCAGCTAGTCTTCCTTAGTGAGATGAAGTCTGGCTATAAAGATATTGTGTAGCATTTTATTTTTGTACCCCTGGCAACTGTTGATTTAGAGTGTACGTATTTCACAAGATTAACATACAGTGTTGGCTGTAGCTCTGAATGCTTTGTTTCTGGCCTTTGACTCCATTCAATTGTGGGCAGTTGCATCTCTAGCTTTGAGGTTAGTAATTAAATAACATTCGTTGATACTTAGAAAATTATTCTGTGAGGAACCTTAGCTGTACATGTTTAGTAGGAAGGCATTATGTAAAAAAATTAGAGCTCAGTCTTTCTAAACAGTGTTAAAATGTACAACTGTACTTTTTCAAACTTGAAATAGGCTTTTTACAAAGGGTTCTTAAGTTAGTTTTTTCTTCTCCCTGGATTTGTTTAGATAGCATAATTTAATAAGCAGACCTTTAAGAGAGAAATCCTTAAGAAGATTTTAACTCTTTTCTGATACCATATTCCTAGTTCTGACTATTTTTACAGTTCTTTAAAGCAGTAACAAGGACCATTTTATTAATAATTGTCATTAATCTGCAGAAAAATAATCAGTGACCATATTAAACAAAATACTTGTTAGTCTTTTTTTTTTAGAGTAAAATATAAAAATTCAACTCACATGCTTTGGAAATTGAAACTGGAGGAATAAAATTTAATATATACAAGGCTAAATTTTAGGTTTGTTGATCCTATATTATGATTATTTCAATGAATGGAGAGAGATAAAAGGAAGGTAAACATACATGGAGAGAAAAAGTAAGAGGATAGAGGGGAGGAACAGAATGAAGTTTGGGCATTAAAAAATAATAAAGCGATGCCAGTTCCCATAGAAGAGGTAAAAAGGAAAACATAACAAAGAGGAAGAAAGAAAGTGAGTTCCCATCCACATTCCTTTTCCCAGAATAATTCCTTCAGCCTTCCTCTCCCTCTGCTTCTCACCTTCGGTTCCGCCTCAGGCTTTCACAGTCCCCTCCAAGCTGACCAGAAGAGCCCCGCCTTGCTGTAGAAACCCTGCTGCCAGAAAAGACTCCTTTCCTCCCCAGCTCTTCTCCCCGATCCCTCAATTTTAGATCCAGTTTTCAATATGGAAGAATTCTCTTCCGTCTTCTCAGCCATCAATTGGTTGACGCACAACAGTCCTTTAGTGTGGGATCCCCAGTGCCTAGGGGAAAAAAGTCTGTATATATTAAAGAAATTATTTTTTGTCTGTTGTTATAGTACCAAATGTTAGCCAGTTTGTCGTTTTTTTTATTTCTTTATTTTTAAATTTTTTGAAATGTCATCTCTGGAAATTTTTAAACATTGATTTGTTGTTGCAATGATTTATATATTCATTGGTTGATTCTTGTATGTGCCCTGACCAAGGATCAAACCCCTAAGCTTGGTGTATGGGGACGACACTTTAACCAACTGAGCTACCTGGCCAGGGCTTTTGGGCTGCTTCTTGACTTGACCAAATGCTTTTCCTTGGTCCAGAGGACAAAAAGTCAGATGACTTTTCAATCACTAGAGAGTTCATTATCACAATTATATCTAAATAATTTGCACTTCCCTTTCTTGCCTCTATATATTTCACCTTCACTTAATAATATTTTTTTCAGGTGTCAGAGAGATACTGATTTCCACCCTGTACAAGGTCTATAATACAGTTTTAAAATGTTTTCAAAACATTTTTAAAGTTTCAAGCAAAATGTAAATGTTATTTTGGAAAAAAACATGTCTTCATTATCATAAAGATCCATATGTTGATCTTAAAAGTTGACTGTATGCTTATTCTTTGTTTAATTTCTGGACTTGGATATGCTAAATTACGTTTTAAATATCCTCTGGCATAATTTATAAGGTCAAAAAAATCAAGCATAAGCTTAATTGTTAACCCTCTGTTTTCAGCCTGGCTGGGTTGTTTTGGACCAACCAGATGCTGCTTGCCATTTGCAGCAGCAACAAGAACCTTCTCCTCTACCTCCAGGCTGGGAAGAGAGACAGGATATTCTTGGAAGGACCTACTACGTAAACCATGAATCTAGAAGAACGCAGTGGAAAAGACCAACCCCTCAGTATGTGCTGATGGCTTTCATGTTTGTAATCTGAATACATTGTGACCATTACTTTTCTTTTTGAAGTCATGTTTCTAATGCATTTGTAATAGAATAGGGATCCATAAACTGCACTAAGATATTTATGGTCCAGGGCTTAAAAAATGCTATCTTTGCTGCATGTTTTTAAAAATAATTTGGTAATATTCAAAATTATTTGAGTCACAAATACCACCCTTCTAATTGCTTCTATATTTTAATAATAAATTGTTAACTGGGCTTGTTTTTAATATTATGTAGCCACAAAGGATGCATTTTTCTCTTTAGAATTATTTAGAAAGTCTTAGAGATTTTTTTACTAAAATATTATAAAATCTTAAATTCTATAGCACACTTTAAAAAATACAAATTATTTTTTAAATATAAAGGATTCAATTACAAGGATCTTTTGTTAAGCACCCATTTGCCAATCTGGTCAATATGTGCATAATTTCTACCCTACACCAGATCAAGGACAGAATGACCTTCAAGAATGATCTTGTAATAACATGGCAAAATAATATAATGAAGTTATTTGTGAAATTCTCAGGTAGTCATTCATTCAACAAATGTTTGTCAGACATATCACGTACACACTTTCACAAAAACTTTAACCCCATAAGGTACCAATGTGCCCACAACTTAATCTATGCATGTTGAAAAGAATAAATTCTGATGTAACATAAGTGTTTTTTTAAATGATCACAGAATATTTGGCTATATTTTTAACTCTCTTCAGACATGGGTGATAGCTTTTATATTTCTAATATAGGGACAACCTAACAGATGCTGAGAATGGTAACATTCAACTGCAAGCACAACGTGCATTTACCACCAGGCGGCAGATATCTGAGGAAACAGAAAGTGTTGACAACCGGGAGTCATCCGAGGTAGGAATAACGTTCTGTTTCTCATAGATAGACACATGTTATAGCAACAGATTAAAGTATGTGTGGCTTAAGCTTATTCTGTTCATTTTAGAATTGGGAAATTATAAGAGAAGATGAAGCCATCTTGTATAGCGATCGGGCCTTCTCATCACCTCCACCATCAAGCAGCTCGGATGTTCAGACGCACCTTGCGGAAGAGTTGAATGCCTTACTTACTGTTAGTGGAAATTCAGCCACTGGCCAGCCAGTGTCCAGCTCAGTAAGATGCTCTTAGATTTTGTTGTAGCGTCAGCATTTTATATTATACATATTTGTCCATTCAGTATCCAACTTAACATAACATTTTGTCTTTTCCCAGTTTTATTGAGATATAATTGACATATAACATTCTGTTAGTTCAATGTGTACAGCATAATGATTTGATATATGTATATATTGCAAAATGATCACCACAGTAATTTAGTTAACATCTATCACCTCACATATTTATGAACATTTTTTTCTTGTGATAACAACTTTGTCTAAATGGCATGCAATAACGTGTTAGGGACTGTGGGACTTTACAGTGTGATCATTTTCCCAAATAGTCCCACTAATGGTATGGAACAGAGTCTTACCTAAATGGTCATTGGAGTCCACATGTTCACTATGTCAGTGCCCTTCAGCCAAAGACCACCATGAACACACCTGTAATTGAACAAGTTGGGTTTATTACTCATTTCAGCAGGTGAGAGCACACTCCATGAGTGTCTTGGTGAGATATGTGGGAAAAGACTTAATGGATTTAGGCTCATGTTAGGCAATTTGGGGGAGGGTGTAGGAAAGCAGGATTTTGCTTGTGCCTTGGATGCTGTCAGGAAGCAGGGGAAACTCTGTCTTAGGGTCTCTCAGATTTTATCTATAGGCAGGCAAAAGCTATAATTAGTCAAGAGGCAGCAGTCATTCACATTTGCCAGGATAGGGAGATATTTGGTATTTTGGGCTTGAAAATGTTCACATTTTGTCTGTGTCCAGGTGTAATTACAGGTTGGTCTGGATTTTATCTCCATCCTACCGATGAGTGTCCGGCCAGGTCCTGCTTTCTCCTCCTCAGTTATGCCACAGATGTTTCCAACACACATCTGTGAATACGTGCTGATGTACTTAAACTAAACAAGGAGATAGATGGCACTCTCACTTCAGTAACTGCTATAGAAATTGCTGTGTGTAGGGTCCAGAAGCAAAGATTCCAACATGCACTGCCATAATGCGATCTTTATGGCTAGCTCTCCCATCTGTATCATCAAGGGAGTTCTTTCAGTGAAAGGCAAAGATCATTCTCTGAGGATGCTATGGTCATTTCTAGTTGGAGTTCTCTGCTTTTCATTCAGTTAGTAAATATTTATTGAGGACCGACAATATGCAAGGCACAATGTGCTCAAGTATTATTGAAAGATAGCCATACCCATATGTTTAAGTAATGCCTATGGCTGCTTTTACACTACATTGATAGAGTTGAGTAGTGAGACAAAAAGATAACAGAAATTTGCTTATTTCTGTTTCAGCACTTTTCTCAGCAAACTTCAATGTAGACAGTTCCCTGTGAATACTCGTATAAATATCCAAGAGCACATCTGCCTGCTGCTCTCTTTCCCTCCTTTCTGCCACATGTCTAGTCTGTCTTCCATTTTCTTTTTCTTTTTGTCAGTGGCTGTGAGAAAGGCCAGTCAAAGACTTAAAGAATAAGCTATTTTGATTTACTGGTGATAAATCACACAAGATTCTATTCCCTTTTCTCCTGTTATTTTTTTATTATTATTTGAAAAGTAATATATGGTATCCATACAATGAAATACTATGCAGACAACTGAAAAGAATGAGATGGCTTTGAATGTATGTATTGTGTGGAATAATCTCTAAGCTATTAGTCAATGAAAACCAGCAAGGTACAGAACAGTGTGCTTGATGTACTATGCTTTATGTAAATTACTTTAATGACAGAGAATAAATATGTGTATGAGATTTCTTGAAGACTAAAAAGGAAACTGGTAACATTGCTCAGGTGTGAAGGGAGGAACAAGTGAGCAGGACATGTGTCTTTGGTACCTTTTGAGTTTTATAGCATACGTACGCATGTGTTGCTTATTCAGAAAAACAATTCTTTTAAAAGTGTTGCATGGTCATGGTGAACAATTAAAACAGTAACGAGGTATATAAAACAAAAGTTAAATCTTCCATATTACCTCTAACACATGCTTCCTCAATTGCTATTAATGGTTTGGCATATACTATTATTGTCCTGAACATTTTCTCTATATTTATAAACATGAGTGAGCACACATATATTTCTATATAATTTTTTTAACCTGAGATCATCTCATACACACTTTTTGGTAACTTAGTTTTTTCACTTGCTATATCATAGACCATTGGACCATTTCAGTAAATATAAACTTACCCTTCCTTTCAAAACCAACAACAAAAATTATCAAACTCTACCATATTTAATGTGCAAATAAACCTTAAGGTATCATGCCCTCTCCTGTTGATAGATTGTTTATAGTCCTTTGTTATTATAAACAATGGTACAGTGGCTGTTATGAGTTAATTTATACATGTATTATAAGTTTTGATGTCATTAAATAACAAAACTAAGATATTTTAGATAGTGACAACGACATGCGTATGGAAACCCAAGGAAAGAGAGTGTATGGGATTTCCGGGAAACAGGCAGTCTTGTTTGTGAGGTTGGAGGTGCTGGAGCCGAAGAGAAGAGCCAGGTCAGGAAGCTCACTCAGCACTGTGTTCTGGCTGTGGATTTTGTCCTAGTGAGGGTATAAACCACTGCAGGGCTCCGAGCTAGAGAGCCAGGGTGCTGGCTCACGCGATACAACGGTCTCTGGCTGCAGCACGCCCTATGGGATGTAGAGTCAAGGAAATCAGACTTGATGTCGCGGAATCTATTAGGATGTTGCTGCACTAATAACCAAGGTGACAAATGAGGAACACTTAACATTTTAAAACCAACAAACTTGAGCTAAAGTGGAGAGGGAGTGTATTTGTGAGCTAGTCAAGAAACAGAATGAATAGGACCTGGTGACTGACCGGGCTGCGAGGGACAGGAGTGGAGGAGTTTGGGGTCTGACTGACATCTGACTTGGGCAGCTGCTGGCCTCACGTGCTGCCCTCTGAAGTGAGGTGAGGGTTTGAGTGGCTGTGAGCAGGGAAAAACCGAATCCAGTTTGGGGCACAGTGAAGGGTGTCTGACATTCAAGGGAACGTGTCCAGGAGGCAGTGTAGGGTCGGGGAGAGGTGTCTAGAAGCTGAAGGCGTTAGCACGTGGGTGGTGCTGAGAGCCCTGGGTGCTGTCACCCAGTCTCCACATGGCTTCCTAGCCAGCGTTCTTTCTTCTACCCCCTCGTGCCCACCCCCGTGATGTTATCAGCCTCTCAAAGACAAATCCAAGATCTAAAATTATTACCATTCTTCTTTTTATAAGAATCATTCCAGCAGAAGAGGCAGCTTACAAGCCTACACTTTTGAGGAACAGCCTGCACTTCCTGTGGTGAGTTTCATCCCCCCCCCCCCCCCCCTTCCCTAGCTTTATTGGTATATTTTTAGTGGCATATTTTATTCTTGGTTTGAGTGAAACCAATTAAGCTTCTAACTCAGCTCTTCTCAACATGTGGGTCACGACCCCTTTGGGTGTCAAATGACCCTTTCACAGGGGTCGCCTCTAAGACCATGAAAACACATATATAATTACGTATTGTTTTTGTGATTACTCACTATGCTTTAATTATGTTCAATTTGTAACAATGAAAATACACCCTGCATATCAGATATTTACATTACAATTCATAACAGTAGCAAAATGACAGTTATGAAGTAGCAACGAAAATAATTTATGTTTGGGGGTCACCACAACATGAGGAACTGTATTAAAGGGTCGCGGCATTAGGAAGGTTGAGAACCACTGGCCTAGCGGAATAATGATCCAGCCCAGGATCTAGGCTCTGGGATAGGAGGTACAGGGGAGGGAAATTGAGTAGGTAGTTTCTTTAAGAAAGAAACTGAAGAACTGCCTCCTGCATAGTAAGAAAGCCCATCTCTGACTGTGGGTGACACCGGCTTGTCTGAAGGGCTGTCCTGGTTGGACGGGGTCTGCCGCAGGGAGCACATGGCGTCCAGCTGCCTTGGCTCTGTACACGGCCCGTGGCATATAGCAGCCATTCTGCCCCACACATGAAGTGTCATGTCAGGATTCAGTCACGTATATTCTGCTGCTTTGGGGTAAATGCTGTGAAGCTATCAGTTTAACTCATCTGGTTTACTGTGTCATTGAAAGCTGTTCTCTTGTTGATTTTCTGTCTGGAAGATCTATCCATCGATATCAATGGGGTGTTAAAGTCCCCTCTTACTGGTGATTTTTCTCTTTATGTCCATCAGTATTTGCTTTATATATTTAGGTGATACTATGTTGGGCACATAAATGTTTTCAAGGGTTATATTCTCTTGTTGGATTGAGTCCTTTCTTATTATGCAATATCCTTCTTTGTTATTATAGCCTTTATTTTAAAGTCTATTTTGTTTGATAGAAATATTGCTACCCCAGCTCTCTTTTTGTTTCCACTTGCATGAAATACCTTTTTCTATCACTTTATTTTCAATCTCTGTGTATCTTTCTACCTGAAGTGAGTCTTGTTTTTTTAATATATATTTTTTATCAATTTCAGAGAGGAAGGGAGGAGAGAGAGAAACATCAATGATGAGAGAGAATCACCAATTGGCTGCCCCCTGTACGCCCCCCACTGGGGATTGAGCCTGCAACCCAGGCATGTGCCCTGACCAGGAATCAAATCACAACCTCCTGGTTCATAAGTTGATGCTCAACCACTGAGCCACACCAGCCAGGTGAAAGTGAGTCTCTTGCAGATAGCATATATATGGGTCTTGTTGTTGCTGTTTTTTAAAATAAATATGTTTTTATTGATTTCAGAGAGGAAGAAAGAGATAGAAACATCAATGATGAGAGAGAATCATTGATTGGTTGCCTCCTGCATGCCCCCTACTGGGTATTGAGCCCGTAACTGGGACATGTGCCCTTGACCAGAATCAAACCAGTAACCTTTCATTACTCAGGCCGAAGCTCTATCTGCTGAGCCAAACCAGCTAGAGCTGGTCTTGTTTTCTTAATCATTCAGTTACCCTATATCTTTTTATTGGAGCATTTATGCCATTTACATTTAAAGTGATTATTGAAAGGGACTTAGTTATTGACATTTTATCATTTATATTTATGGGGGAGTGTCCTTCTTCTTATAAAGTCCTTTTAACATTTCTTGTAATAATGGTTTGATGGTGATGAACTCTTTTAGCTTTATTTTTTTTTTTTTTAAATCTGGGAAGCTCTTTATTTCTCCTTGAATTTTAAATGATAGCCTTGCTGGGTAGAGTAGTCTTGGTTGTAGGTCCTTGTATATAACCATTTTGAGTATTTCATGCCAATCCCTCTGACCTGCAAAGTTACTGTAGAGAAATAAGCTGACAGTCTTATGGGAGCTCCCTTGTAGGCAACTAATTGCTTTTCTCTTGTTGCTTTTAACATTCTCTCTTTGTTGTTAACCTTTTGCATCTTAATTATGATGTGTCTTGGCGTGGACCTCTTTGGGTTCATCTTGTTTGGGATTCTGTGCTTCCTGGACTTGTGTATCTTTTTCCTTCACCAGGGTTGGGAAGTTTTCTGTTATTATTTTTCCTAATAGGTTCCCAATCCCTTACTCTCTCTTCTCCTTCTGGGACCCCTATGATGCGGATGTTGTTATGCTTCATGTTGTCCCAAAGGTCCCTTAAACTGTCCTCATTTTTAAAAATTATTTTTTAAATTTTTGTTGCTCTGGTTGAGTGTTTTTTCCTACCTTGCCTACCTTGATTCAGTTTTCTACTTCATTTAATCTTCTGTTGATTCCTTCTAGTGTATTCTTCATTTCAGATATTGTGTCCTTCATTTCTGACTAGTTTCTATGTCTTTTTTAATGCTTGCTCTCTGGTGAAGTTCTCACTAAGTTCCTTGAGCACCCTTATAACCATTTTATTGAACTCTGTATCTGATAGATTGCTTGCCCTTATGTCTTTTAGCTTCTTTTCTGAAGATTTCTCCTGTTTATTGTTTTGTTTGTTTAGGGCATTTTCTTTGTCTCCCATTTGGCTGCCTTTCTGTGTATTAGGTAGATCTGAGCGACTCAGTGGCACAGACTCCCTGATCACCTGATGCTCCAGGCGCATACCTTGTATAGGTTATGTATGCCTTCCTTTTGTAGATGAGCTTTGATTGCTGTTGGCATATCTATCAATGGGACTGACCCTCCACTGGCTGGTTATGAGATTGGTCACAGTCCGTGTCTGAGCTGCTCCATGGGGGCTGACCCCATGAAACAGAATTTGCCCCCACAGGGTCTGGTGTTTTCTGGGACCTTCCTTTGGGTGTATCACTTTTGGAGCTAATCGGGCCATGCTCTATTGTGGTTTGAAGACTGCCACCATGTATGTTGGTTCTGGGGCCTATGGGAAGAGACTCTGGTGCAGGTCAATGTTATACGCTGCCTGTGACCAGCTCTGGGCTATCTGTTAGGAGCTACAAAGCAATCCACAGTTGGTAGCTCCCTTGCTGGGCCTTGGTGAGGAGGGGCCAAGCTTTATACCAAGACCAGATGCCACAAGTACAAGGCCTGGGGCAGATCAGCAAAAGGCCCAAGCCACCCTGAGACCTGCCACTGCCTGCCAGCTGCCCATTCTGCTCAGCCACTGAAAGAGCCTTGGGCAGTACTCTAGTTACATGTGTTGGGTTCACAGGGAATCACCAGGTAAGGGCGAGTGGTGTTCAGCAAATTAATACAGATTCAACTTGGCACCAGTTCTGGATCTAAAGCCATTCAACAAAAGTCTCGGTATACCAAAGACCAGCTGCCACCTGCCTAGATTCTGTGTACCTTTGCGGTGGGATGGGGTGTCAGGGAGTCATCAGGGTGGAGCCAGTAGAGTTCATCATGTTAAAGCAGATTAAGAGGGAGGGCTCAACACAGGACAGGTGGCACGTGTCGAGCATGCAGGAAGACGGCCCTTACTCTGAAGTCACACAACTTAGTTTCTCTCTGTGTGTCTCTGGCACGCAGAATTCCTCATGTGTTTTTTAAGAAAGACTGCAATGTGGGCCCCGGTTGATTGCCCCTGGCAGAACCTACAACTCTGACCAAGTTGAGTAGCGCAAGGCCTCTGGGAGTCGTCAGGGTGGGACTAGCATAGGTCACTAGGTTAATGCCCTGAGGGGGAAGTGCTTGACCCAGGAAAGACGGCATCTGTGTGCAGTGTGGGAGAGGGACTCAACACAGGGTCATTGGTGACTGTCCCTCCAGCCCTCTCTCCAAAACCACACAAGTCAGTTTCTCCCTGTATGACTCAGGTACCTTCTAGCCTACTGTCCCTCTGCTGGAGCTCCGGGTGAGTGCCTGGGAACAAGAGTTTGTGTGCAAGCCCTTTAGGAGTTCGCCTCAGCTTCCAGCAGCCATCCATCTTCCTGGGTAGGAATCCCCATAGATTTTTCACAGCCAGATGTTATGTGGGCTCTTCTTCCCAGCACTTTTGTTCTGGGCTGGGGAGCTCAGCGTGGGATTGAGACCCCTGAGGCCCATCTCTGGATGGACCTCTACAGATGAGATATCCCTCCAGATTCTCAACCACTGCATGTGGGTGCAGGGCCAGCCTGTTTCGCGTCTCCACCCCTCCTACCAGTCTCATGTGGCTTCTTCTGTAAATCCTTAATTACAAGACGTCTGTTCAGCTAGTCTCCAGATGGATATTCTGGTTATTCAGGTTGATTGTTCAGTAATTTAGTTGTAATGTTTATGTGGTCATGGGAAGAGGTGAAGAAGGCACAGTTTCCATCCATTCTGCCATATTGGACCAGGTTTTCTACTGTCATGTTTTCTTAGTGTTAATACCCTCATCGTTATTGTCTACTGTTTTGTTTAAATGAACTGTTATATGATTTACTGTGTCCACTTCAAAATATTATTTAAAACATGTTTCGTTTTAAAGAGGGCTAGCAGTGACAAAGGGATGTGGTCTTTTTAAAAGCATTTTTTCTTAGTAATATTTAATTCTCTCATTATTCTTCATGTTAGCTTTTGCCTACTTCATCTGGATTACCACCAGGTTGGGAAGAAAAACAAGATGAAAGAGGACGATCTTATTATGTAGATCACAATTCCAGAACCACTACGTGGACAAAGCCCACTGTACAGGTACTCTCAAATCTATCCCTTAACTTGTTTTCTGACATAAATGAAGCCATCCTATTTCTATGGAAGCTATTACATCACTTTGTGGTATATATTGGATGCTGCTGGCATGTTCTAGTTACTTTCTGACATTGGTGCTAAGTGTCTACTATTTCCTGTGGGTCTCTGACGTGCATGAATTACCAGTTGTCATTACGTAAAACAAGTCCAGTTGGGAATAAGAGGACAAAGTAAATGATCTAGTCCATTGGGTAATTTTGTAATTTGGATGGTTAAGACCTTTATTTAGCTAAAAGATAATCTTAGTAATTTGTATCTATTAAAGAAATTTGTGTTGATGACACATTGTCCTTGACAACAGTGAGTGCTTTTGTAAGTGTTTAGGGAAATATTTATTTTATCTTAATATCATTCTCTTATTGAGAATAATATAACAGATACCTTTTTCTTTACACCCAGTATTTACCACCATTAACAAATTACTGTATTCATTTCTAGAGTTTTTATTTTTTAAAATAAAATTTTACAGATAAGAGAACATTTCTTTTAGCCAAACATTTGGTCCCACTCCCCAGAGAGAACCACCTTTTTGAATTTGTTGTGTATTCTACCCTATTTTATATACTTACAAACAGAGTTAAACAATGCAAAATATTGTTTATGTCCATATGTTTCAAATTTTGCAAAGATGTTGTGTTGTATAATTCTGAATCTTTTTTTTTGCTCAACATTGTTTTAAAACCCCATCCTTTTTTTTTTTTTAATAGCGATCCAGTGTATTTCTTTTAACCACTGCCTAATCTTTCATCAGATGACTATATTCCAATTAGCCATTTCTGTGGTGGATATTTGCCATTCAGTTTTGTCCATCCAGCATTGGAACCCACGTCTATATATATAGAATTCCCCACCTCTGAGTCTTTGGGTGAGCAGAGACAGCCTCCGCAGTGGCACTGTGGCTTCTCTTGCAGCTAGCGCACAGCTTCCTTAGTCACGTGCAGTACCAACAACTTTGTCAACCAGCATCTTACTGCTCAAGAATTAGCTGAGAAATGATGAATTATTTTTAAAAAACAACAACAAAGTTTAACAGAACACTTTATTTTAGAAATGAGCCTCCAGTGTTTAGGCTTATTTATACGTGTATATTCTGCCTGCAGGTTGTTACCTTTTAACCACAGCTATTTGTGTAAACTCTATAAAACATTTCACCGTGATTTAATTAATGTGCTAGGCCACAGTGGAGACCAGTCCGCTGCCAGCGAGCCAGAGTTTTTCTGCGAGCCCTCAACCACAGCTCCCCACAAGTGATTCGGCACAGCAGGTGACTCAGCCAGCTGAAATGGAGCAAGGGTTCCTTCCCAAAGGCTGGGAAGTCCGACATGCACCAAACGGGAGGCCTTTCTTTATTGACCACAACACCAAAACCACCACCTGGGTAACTTCAATACTCTCCAATTTAAATTTATAACAACAACAATAGTAATCCCTTATATATATAGTTCCTTGTAATCTTTTTACGTGTACATTAATGTAACCTTCATTTTCTAGTATTCATTTAAAGGTATGTTGAAATCATAATAGTATTATGTCTATTCGAGATATGTTTATGACCACTTTTAGTATTTGGGGGTATTGTCCTGTAGATACATTTACTTCCTATATCCAAGTTTAAACTCACTAGCCATAAATACATGGGAAGATACTTAGTAATATCTTCGTAGCTCCAAAGTACTTTTGAATCCATACCTCATTTAATATTTAAAAAATAACAACTTGTAAGGCTAAGTAGACTAAGTATTTTTATCTTAAGACAAGGGCTTAAAGTTATTTAGCCATTGGTTCACCACTAATAGAAAAATTACTGAAAATTAGCAGCAAAATAAATAGGTTTGATTAATTAATTTATTTTAAAGACCAGTGTACCTAAAAAACCTAAAATAATTTAATAAATTATTTAATGAAATATTAAAATAATAATTCAAATAAATTGAAGTTCTCTTTTTCAACAATTTGGTTAATTTTAGTAATCTATTTGAGCTTGCCACCCTACCTTTCAAAAATATTAATAAATCAACATGTTAGCAGGTCCCAAAAGGCATGTTCAGGGCTTCAGAAACAACAAGTAGTCCAGTTCACTGTCCCACTCTTTCACCCAATTTCATTTAGAGAAGAGTCTTATGTAGCCCTAAGGCAGTGATGGCGAACCTTTTGAGCTTGGCGTGTCAGCATTTTGAAAAACCCTAACTTAACTCTGGTGCCGTGTCACATATAGAAATTTTTTGATATTTGCAACCTTGGTAAAACAAAGACATGTTTTTGATGTTTGTTTTATATATTTAAATGCCATTTAACAAAGAAAAATCCACCAAAAAAATGAGTTTGCGTGTCGGAGGTGTCATAAGTTCGCCATCACTGCCCTAAGGAATGAGACAAAATACTCTGAACGGTTTCTGTGAGAGATGATGAGTTAACACAGATCCTACTCTGAAATCTGAGAAAGGAATACTCTAGCCTGAAAATGATACTAGATCTTACATAGAGAAACTATTATTTCTCTGATTAAGCAAATGAAATAAAAGAATGGTTTAAGCCTGGATGGCGTCAGCTTATCAGGAGGTCACGGTTTCAATTCCCGGTCGGGGACCATGTGTGGGTGGAGGCAGCTGATCAATGATTCTTTCATCGTTGATGTTTCTATCTCTCCCTCTCCCTTCCTCTCTGAAATCAATAAAAATATATTTTTTAAAAAGAGAATAACTTAAATATTTATTGGTATTAGAAAACATAGTATCAGACTGACTTTCATGATTTTAAAATTATACTGTTTTCTTCATTTATTCTACCAAAAAAGGAAGATCCAAGACTGAAAATTCCAGCTCATCTGAGAGGAAAGACATCACTAGATTCTTCCAATGACCTCGGACCTTTACCTGTAAGTTTATAGAGCTACTCCCCATCTCCTTGGCTGCATTAAACATTTTGGATTTGGGGCTACAGTAGTAGTACTTTAACAGCTGTAAGTAATATAATTAAAGTGTTGATGTCTTCTACTAAGGATGAAATATGCAAATTAAATTAATCACATAACCAATGGTATTTTTCTACCCATACATCTAAAACCCTTTCTGTAAAATAATTGAAATACATTCTTCATTATAGCCAGGATGGGAAGAAAGAACCCACACAGATGGAAGAATCTTCTACATAAATCACAGTATGTGCAGCATGGGTTTTTCATTACATTATTTCATAATACTGAATTTTGTGCATAAGAATGAAGAATATCTTTTCTCTCTCTCTCTTCAGATATAAAAAGAACACAATGGGAAGATCCTCGGTTGCAGAATGTAGCAATAACCGGACCAGTAAGTCTCTTCGTATCAGTATGTCCTGATGGGATTGTCCTCTCACCTGTCTCTTTAAGGATGAATGGTCAAGTGCATAACCCTACAGGCATTGGGAGGAAAGCGTATTTGCCTTTGTCACCACCCTGACTCCAGGTCTCAGATATTTCAAAAAAGCATATAAGATTATATCCTTCTCCTGCACAATAGCTCTGGGAGACTCGTAAGCCAGACAGTCAGAATGCTAAGGCAGTGGTCCACTGGGCTCAGGCTCATGCTTGCCACTGTCTGAAAAAGAATGTCAGGCCGCAGCAGAGCAGAGAGGAGTCTAGAGTGTACAGGTGAGGAAGTAGATAGTGCCCTCTCCATTCTGGGGCTGCATCTTGAACTTTTTGGTAGAAATTACAGATATAAGAGATATAGATATAGTATAGATATATAGATAGATATAGCTAGATATGGATATAGATATAGATATAGATATATGACACACTCATATTTAAATATTGCCATGTATGATTTTTATAGTACTCGAGTCAGGTTAATAATAGGAAAATTATTATCCTCTTTTATATAGTAAATTTTCCATTTTTTAGTTATTCAGATTTTAATTGTTTTTAATTCACAAAAATAAATAAAATTAAAGATACAGTTCTTTTAGATTATTCTTTAGTCTCCATGTTTGGTCTTTTAAAATAATGGATAAAAAAGGCAACTCCACAACGTTCAAGGAAAAAGTACATTTTTCAAATTGTTCCCTTAATGGAGAAATCACTTTGAAAGTCTCTTTAGAAATGGAAATTTTCATTTCTAATATTTCTCTTCTTGGAAGAAATTTCCTGTTTCTGGCATGTTGCATTTCAAGAATACTGAATGATGAAAATTACAGCCATAGGAATTGCTGAATATAAATTTTATCTTAAACAGAGAAATTTAAAAAGTTTTAAGTTTTGTATTTGTTTTTCTTTAAATTAAACTTTCCTTTCCAAATATTCTCTTTTAATGCCTTTAACTTATATTCATAGAATACCCAGAGGGGAACTTTTAAAATTGTTCCAAAATAAAACAACCTAAACCTTCTTTATTTTTCCAAAAATTTCAACTCAAGGCAGTGCCCTACTCCAGGGATTACAAAAGAAAGTATGAGTTCTTCCGAAGAAAGTTGAAGAAGCAGGTTAGTGATACTTATAATGAGTTTTTAAGAATGAATGTTATGTACACTGAAGGTAACGGAAAATGCCTTTTTAAATGGATGAAGGACATACCAAAAAAAAGGAAAAGAAAATAGTAAGAGGATTTGTTCTATATTTGTAACAACTTTAAATAGTTTCCTATAGGAAAAGGATGCTTATTTTTTTATATATACCTTTAGAGACCACAATTATTTTATGTCTTTATTTTTCAAGATATCCTGTAATCTAGAAAAGTAATATTAAAAGTTTGCTTTTAAAGAACTCTAATGTAGTTTCCTGGTGGGGTTTGTGGGGCTTGGGCTTGGTAGAATCTGAGCAAGGGTAGCTGCGGGGATTATCTCCTCCTGGTCTTTGACTGTGTCGGACTCTCTGGATTCCTTTTCTGCTTTGACCATTGTTTTCCAGTGATCGTCATTCATTCTCTACAGTTTCAGTTATAACAAACTGTATAATTTGAAAGTGCAACTGTGGTTGGAACAGTGCTCTTGTTGCTTGTCTCCTTGTACTTATCACATCTGTTCACTGCACTTCTTTCCATCATTAAAAATTTAATATGTTTGGAATTAAACTCATTATCTACCCATCTATTTCATTTCTGTTTGGTAATGACCAAATTTTTAATACCTTTTGAATTTGCACCTTTTCCCATTCCCCTGCAGTTTAGGAATACTACCAGTAGGTGGCTATAATGGGTTACATTTTCTTGCATTCTAAGCCAGACGCCTGCTTTTACACATTCAAGATACAACATTTAACAAAAATGAAATATAGTAGGTGTTTAGTGCAACTATTGTATGCCTAAATAAAATCCTAATATATCAGCAACTTTTAGAACTCATCTTCAATAAAATGGTTAACATTGCTTTAGAATTTTGTTTTCTACTTCTTAAAATTCTTTGGGATTTTAAGTTTTTGTTGGTTTATTTGCCAGGTAAATATTTTCAGTCTTAATGAAAAATTGCTGGTGAAATAGGAGGACTAACTTCTCCTTTTGTCACACTGAACACATATAAACATGTTACAATATCTAATTGTTTATGTCTTCCAGGAAGCAGGAAATATGGAACAAGGCCTTTATAAACAGGTCACAGAACGTAGAACTTATAATGAAAGCAGTAATACTTATTGAGCTCTCACTATATACCGGGCAGCCTTCTTAGCAAGTTAAATTTATTATTCATATAATCTCTACAATAAGGAAGGGACTTTTTGAAATGAATAAAAGTACTTTTAATAATGCATAAGATAATTAAATCATAATGGGGTTTGAAAATCCATGCAACTAAATAACAGTGTGTATAGAATTAAGTGAAAACACATTCATGGATATTTATAGCCTTCTACTCTGCCTAAGAAAGGGTAACAGTGATGGGTTCAATATAAAATTTATAAATTAGAATAAAAAAGCAGAATATACTTAAATCATTTAAAGTTTAAAAAAAGCAATAAATGAAAGAAGTGATTTTTAAAATTGTGAAATTAAATGTTTTAAATTACTTTGTGAGAAATAATAGACATCTCCTAAAGAAAAAAAAAACACAAAACCCAAACAACTCTTATAAGTGTAAGAGGACTGAAATGACATTTACATCACAATTAACATATAAGAGAAAATTAAAAATTACTATAAACTTTTAGATTTGAAGTCTTATTTGAAATAATCAATATAGACAAGTTCCTAGAAAAAACATCACTTTCTAAAATTGGCCCAGGATATCAGTTAAATTTGAATATTTCTGGGAAACGTTTTTTTTAATAGAATTTTTTATATTTCAATTAAAATTGCCGTACAATATTACATTTGTTTTAGATGTATACCCCAGTAATTAGACATTATGTAACTTACTAAATGATTATGCTAGTAAATCTTGTACTCATTTGACACCATACATAGTTATTAGAATATTATTGACTATATTCTCTGTGCTGTACTTTACATCCTCATGACTATTCTGTAACAACCAATTTATACTCCTTAATCCCTTCACCTTTTCTACCCATCCCCTCAACGCCCCTCCCATCTGGTCCCTCCCATTCTCTGTTCTGAGTCTGTTTCTATTCTGCTTGTTCATCTATTTTGTTTTTAGATTCAGTTGTTGATAGGTATGTATTTATTGCCATTTTATTGTTTATATTTTCTCCTCTTCTTCCTCCTCCTTCTTCTTCAAAAAGACCCTTTAACATTTCATGTAGTACTGGTTTAGTGGTGATGAACTCCTTTAAATGTTTCTGGTCTGGGAAGCTCTTTATATGCCAGGGGTGGGGCTGTTATCACATTTTACAGGTGAGGAAACTGAGGCACCGAGAGATTAGAGAATGTGATCAAGTTCCATGGTTGTTAGTGGCAAAGCTGCAGAGTCCATGTTCTCAACCATCATGACATATATTGGTGATTAAGAGAGAAAATCTGTGAGGAAATTATCCACATTGCAACAAAGGTGTATTAAGAGTTAAAAGCATGCCAAAACCGGTTTGGCTCAGTGGATAGAGCGTCGGCCTGCAGACTGAAGGGTCCCGGGTTCGATTCCGGTCAAGGGCATGTGCCTGGGTTGCGGGCACATCCCCAGTGGGAGATGTGCGGGAGGCAGCTGGTCGATGTTTCTCTCTCATCGATGTTTCTGACTCTCTATCTCTCTCCCTTCCTTTCTGTAAAAAATCAATAAAATATATTTAAAAAAAAAAAAGAGTTAAAAGCATGAGTGAACGGTAAGAAACAAGGTGTCATTCCCGAAGTATGGCACAGGAGGCGAAGAATCTGACTCCCCCCACCCCCCTCCGTTTAACAAAAAATCGCAGGCATGATTTAAACAATGAAATCCGTATCTGGACACGTCACTCCAAAAGAGCAGGACACCAAGACAGAGGTGAAAAATTAAAAACCAGCGCTACAAAGCCTTGAGCTATCTTTAAGCTTGACCCCTGCCTTATCCTTAACAATGAATGTAGCACATTCTTTAAGAGCTGAGACCCAAGAGCTACGCCTTTCTTAACTCCTGTCTTCAGTTTCTTCATCCGTAAGAGGGAGATATAATAGTAGCTTCTTCATAGTGCTGTTATGGGGCGTAATCGCATTAACCCATTAAAATGTGGGGAGCATGCCTCTCACCGTCTGTAAATATTAATACCTATTAAAGAGTGAATGAGACAGACTCCAAGGAGGAATGGGGGGAGCAGGGAAAATCCCTGACCTGACAGGCAGGCAACAAGTAGCAGGCAGCAGCTACATTGTAGGTCTCAGGTGGATCTTCATGGGAACTTAATAAGCAAAGGACAATTCCCGAAACACCTTCGCCTGAGCGTTACTGCCACCATCGGTAGCTGCTTCTTCAGATATAAAAATCAGAAGTCTGTGTTATTAAGTGATTAGAGAAAACGCATGATTCTGTCATATCAGCGGTTCTCAACCTGTGGGTCGCGAACAATGAAAATACATCCTGCATATCGGATATTTACATTACGATTCATAACAGCAAAATTACAGTTATGAAGTAGCAGTGAAAATAATTTTATGGTTGGGGGTCACCACAGCATGAGGAACTGTATAAAAGGGTCGCGGCATTAGGAAGGTTGAGAACCGCTGCTAGAGGAAATATTCCTGGTCATGCTTTCCCTGAAAAGGGGCCTTGGCACAAGATAGAATACAGTGAATTGTAGAAGCTTCCTGCGAGAGAAATTTGCCGTTGTGTTGAATTGATTTAAACCAGAAGCCTCTCTTCTCTGGGCTTTCAGAATGACATTCCAAACAAGTTAGAAATGAAACTTCGCCGAGCAACTGTCCTCGAGGACTCTTACCGGAGGATTATGGGCGTTAAGAGAGCGGACTTCCTCAAGGCTCGACTCTGGATTGAGTTTGATGGCGAAAAAGGATTAGATTACGGAGGAGTCGCCAGAGAGTGGTTCTTCCTGATCTCGAAGGAAATGTTTAACCCTTATTATGGGTTGTTTGAATATTCTGCTACGTAAGCACCTTTACAGTGACCGTATACAGACAAAGACATCACTGTCCTAAAAGGGCCAGAGTTGTATGGTGCAAGGAAACTGTGTGGTTCACTGTGCCAGAAGGAAGAGGAGCACTAATGTTGTTTCAAAAATAACTTTTTAAATTGTGGGAAAATACACTTAACATAAAATTTACCATTTTAACCATTTTAAAGTGAGTGTATAGTTCATGGCATTACGTACTCTCACATCAATCATTGTGCGAGCATCAGCACCATCCATCTCTAGAACTTTGCCATCATCCCAAACTGAAGCTCCTTACCCATTCAACGCTAACCCTCCCGGGCCCTGGCAGCCTCCACTTTACTACGTTCTGTCTCTGTGAATGTGTCACCTTTAGGCACCGCATGTATGTGGAATCATACAGCATTGGCTTTTTGTGACTGACTTAATTCATTAGCGTAATGTCCTCAAAGTTCATCTGTATTGTAGAGTGTGTCAGAATGTCCTTCCTTTTAAAGGCTAAATAATATCCCATTATGCTATAAAGAGGCCCAGTGAACGAAATTTGTGCATTGGAAGGGTCGCTAGCAGCTGCTGGCTGCCAGCCAGGGCCTTCCTTCATTCCGCGCCATCCCCTGCTGGTCCCGGAGGGGACACTTTGCATATTAGGCTTTTATATATATAGATACCACATTTTGTTTCTCCATTTATCTTTCAATGAACATTGGGGTTATTGCTCCCTTTGACAGAAATTACTGTTTTGAAAACCATTAAATCCAGAGGTTTAATATGGTTCTAAAAGAGGTAAACAACTCAAAAGAGAGTGATAATTTATAATTATCAGTCATATTTTTAAATTTTTATGTGAAGAAATACAGAGAGGAGCATTTAAATGTGGTTGTCTTTGCAGGGATAATTATACCCTGCAGATAAATCCAAATTCTGGATTGTGTAATGAAGATCACCTCTCCTACTTCAAGTTTATTGGCCGGGTAGCTGGAATGGCAGTTTATCATGGCAAACTGTTGGATGGTTAGTATTCAGCTTAAAACTTTGTTATATGTAATTATAATATTATATTATAATGTAATTATAATGTGATGATCTGATTTCTTTCACTTGGTAATCATTTTTAAAATATTTGCTTCCTTGCAAGGTTTTTTCATCCGCCCATTTTACAAGATGATGCTACACAAACCAATAACACTTCATGATATGGAATCAGTGGTATGTCATTTTCACTTACAATATAGAGAGAGAATAATTTAACAGGCAACTGAATATTTTAAAGAGTTACCTTTTAAAGATAAAGAAATTAATAGATTATAATGTTACAAAATATAAATGAACATTTCCCCCAACATTTTATTATGAAAAACTTCTAACATGTAATAAGATAAAAAGATTTGCCGAAACCGGTTTGGCTCAGTGGACAGAGCGTCGGCTTGTGGACTGAGGGGTCCCGGGTTCGATTCCGGTCAGGGGCACGTGCCTGGGTTGCGGGCACATCCCCGGTGGGAGATGTGCAGGAGGCAGCTGATCGATGTTTCTCTCTCATCGATGTTTCTGACTCTCTATCTCTCTCCCTTCCTCTCTGTAAAAATTCAATAAAATATATTTTAAAAAAAAAAAGATGAAAAGATTTTACAGTGGACATGTGTGTAGCCACTACCCAGATTCCACTACTGGCTTTTTATCTATACTTACTTATCACATACCTGTTCACCTATTCACCCCTCTATCCATCAATCCATTTTGTTTTTCTGATGGCATTTCAAAGAAAGTTGCAGATATCAGTAAACTTCTCCTTAAATACTTCAATATGCTGAACAACATTTTAATGTATTTCTCGCATCAACATTTGAATTGTGATCATTTATCATGAATAGCATATGTTTTCAAAATATCAGTTCAAAGGCAAGACCTTGAGATTAGGCCACTACAAAGAAACAGAAACAGAAAGATTAAATCCCTCACTATGGCCCATGTTGAATAGCCTCAAACACTGTGTGCACAGGGGTTCCAAGACCTCTTCCTCGGCACCACGTTCACTTTGTGTCCCCTTTCTGTGACACAATATCAGTGTGAACAGTATAATTCTTTACAAATCATGAGGTTGTACAGTTACTTGAGTTGGTTAATTGAGGTTCTGTATTTGAGGTTGTTCTTTAGCTTGGGCCAGGTATAAATAGCAGCCCCCCTCACTGCTACTTAAACAGTACACACACAGTCTCACAGCCGCATGAGAAAGGTGCTGTGTGATCCTGGGTAGCCATGGAGGTTACGATTCATCTGACAGCTGCTTTATTGACCTTTAACTGGGTAATAAAATTTTTACCTCCACTGCTTCCACACAGAGATAAAGTTCTAAACTTTTAAGCAGGCCCCACTCTATTGATGTATATATTTTTTACTCTCACACATACTAGTTATCCATCTCTAGCTATATAAATAAGAGGGTAATATGCTAAGTGTCTGTCCGGGTAATGACATCACGTAGCACCACCTGGCTTCTTCTCCCTAGCAACTAGACCAGGGGTGGGCAAACTTTCTGACTCGAGGGCCACAATTGGTTCTTAAACTGGACCGGAGGGCCGGAACAAAAGCATGGATGGAGTGTTTGTGTGAACTAATATAAATTCACAGTAAACATCATTACATAAAAGGGTACGGTCTTTTTTTTTTTAGTTTTATTCATCAAACGGGCCGGATCCGGCCCGTGGGCCGTAGTTTGCCCACGGCTGGACTAGACTCTGTGCAGTTTCTTCAGCCCAGGAACATGACTTGTTTTATAGCCAGGTGGAAACGTTTTACACTTTAACCAAATGTCTGTGAAGCGTTTTCCCATGCCTCATCTCATTTGATCCTCACAGGAGTTCTGGGGTAGGTAGATAGGAAACTTGGTGGAATCCTATTTTCTTTTCATTAGCCGGAAAATGGAGATTTAGAAAGCTTAGACACTTGACTCACATGTATAAAAGGCTAAGTTGACTCGCGCATGCATGATACATATAAAGCTCTCACTGGCGCCAATTGCACGCATGTGTTTCCATCTGTCATTGTCAGTTGTGAATATGGTTGACACTTATATTATAGAGAAAGGGTGAATAGTGATATTAAAATATTTCTTCTAATTAATTTCCTTTCAATGTGCATGAATTCATGCACCAGGCCACTAGTCTATAATACATGTGAATGTATGGAAAAGGTGTCCAATGACTTTTTCACCTTTGGTCCCATTATTCCTTCAGACTCTCAGTATACTTCCTTTGCAGGTGCAGGTGTCTTCTTTTTATATGTGTACAAATGTTAAATATGTAATTTTCCCTATCTAGGATAGTGAATATTACAATTCACTAAGATGGATTCTTGAAAATGATCCAACAGAACTGGACCTCAGGTTTGTCATAGATGAAGAACTTTTTGGACAGGTTTGTAAACTTTGATGAATTAAAATGGTACATGAATGAATGATACAAATGTTATAACAAGTTTAGACGTTAAGTAATGTATATACTCAAAACATTTCTGTGCTCTATTTTTAAACTTATCTTCCAGTAACAAAAGCTGTCTCTCAGCAAGAATTTCTGCTTTCTTTGACATTTGACTCATTCCGTATTTGTTTTAGTAAAACTAATATTTTAAGTTTTCTTAGTTTTGAATGGATTTAATTTAAAACACCAGGTTTCTGGTGTAACTATAATATGTATATATATTTTTTCACTAAACTAACATATGAAGGTGTCATGCTTTATTTTAGACACATCAGCATGAGTTGAAAGTTGGTGGATCAGAAATAGTTGTCACCAATAAGAACAAAAAGGAATATATTTAGTAAGTATTTTGTTAGTAAGTGCTTTGCTGGAAATAATTTTGTACTTCTTTCCAGGAAGACTCTTTGTCATTCTCTGTCTTTCCCAGCTCTTTCCCAGTAGCTAGAGTCACGATGTCGCGTTCTCTCTCTTTAACAATGCCTTATCGCCCACTCAGATTCAGGGTTTATCTTGGGCTTAGCTAGTCTTTATTTTTTGTTTGTTTGTTTCTACAAAGGATAAATATACCTTGAAATTTTTTCTTGATTTGTATGAAAAAGACAGCCTTTTTTGTTCCTTTTAGCCTTGTAATACAGTGGCGATTTGTGAATCGAATCCAGAAGCAAATGGCTGCTTTTAAAGAGGTACTCATCTTTTGTTTGCTCTTCTGTAATTGCAAAGTATAATCCGTAAACTGTAAATATTGGGGCTTCTCATATCCGAGAAAAATTAGCATGTGACTTCCCAATTTAATTAGATTTTTATATTAACAAAATCCTCAGTCACTCAAGAGGTCCATGCAATAAACCTTGACAGTCCCCCCTCCCATTGCCCTTCCCGTCCCCAGTCCCACACCTTCCACCTTCAGTGGCCTCAGTGAACACAGGAACGAGAGTGCTGTAAGAATGGTGGGATATGCCATTTGTTTCTTGTCCTGTGTGGGATCACACTGTACCTGTTGGTTTGTGACTTGTTTTCTTACCAGATACTTAGTGGAGATCTTACCATGTCAAGAGATATAGGGGTCATTTTTCATGGCTGCATTTTATTCATAATATTAGTTCTTAAGTTATTTAAACTTCCTTCAACTGGTAGACATTTGGGCTATTATCAGGGCATTCATTTCTTTTTCTTTTTTTAAATGTAAGGAATGGAATATTTTTTTAAATATATTTTATTGATATTTTACAGAGAGGAAGGGAGAGAGATAGAGAGTTAGAAACATCGATGAGAGAGAAACATCGATCAGCTGCCTCCTGCACATCTCCTACTGGGGATGTGCCCGCAACCTAGGTACATGCCCTTGACCGGAATCGAACCCGGGACCGTTCAGTCCGCAGGCCGACGCTCTATCCACTGAGCCAAACCGGTTTCTGCAGGACATTCATTTCTTAAGCTAACTTAAAATTTCCTGTTAAATATTTTTTATATACTTTTTCATTTATTCAATATTGAGCACTGGTGCTACATCAGACAAAAAGACATGAGCCGTACTATCAGGGAGCAGAGAATCTAAAACTTGAAATGGACAGGTGCAAGCCTGCAGTGCTAGGGAAGGAGAGACCAGAGTGGGGAGAGTGGAGGCAGGGCAGGGAAGGACTAGAAGGATTGGCCAGACACAGAAAGGAGGGAAATGCAGTTCTGAGAGAGCAGCAATTGAGACCGACTACACACACATTTGACAGCAGACAAGCAATTCCAATCCTGGAAAAGAGGATGCAAAAGGTGAAACTAAACCCGGAGAGCTGGCCAAAAACCAGATTGTGAAGGGCCTGTTTGTTAGTTTTCTCTGAAGTCCAGTGAGAGGAAGGGAAGTGGTGTTAAGATGCAATGTACACTTTAGTCAGACCATTCTGGAAATGATATGCAATGAATTAGAAGAGGAATGGTCTGGTTGGGAAAGAGCTATAGAATCCGGATGGAGAATGGATTAGGAACCAAGAAAGTGGTGCTGCGGGTGCATCTGAATGGTCTTCAGGAGGGGAGATCCACAGCACAGGGTGACTGAAGGATGGATAGTTGGGGTGGCAGTATGGATTTGGGAATCGTCTGTGAAGGTGTAGTGGAGCTGTGGACCAGATCAGATGGAAAATTCAAAAGAACAGGGAGGTGAAAGAGGCTGGCCACGTGTGGAAACCTGGGAACACCAACATTTAAAGGATCGACAGTGAGAAAAGGAGACTTCAAAGGAATTAGCAAAGGCAGACAGAGACATAAGAGCAAAACCATCAACAGCAAAGCTTCAAGAACAAAGCTGTTTTCAACAATGTACTGCAGAGAAGCCAAATAAGACATGGAAGTAGACACTGCTCATTAGATGTAGCCGCGAAGTTGCTTTGACTTTTTCCCAGGACAGCTCCGGGGAAGCAGTGGCATAGAGGTCAGATTGCAATGGGTTGAGGGAAAGACAGGAGGTGAGCAAGTAGAGCTGATAACATGTAACACTGTCAAGAACTTGGCTGTGAAGAGGGGAAAGGGGTGTTTGCTCTTTGGTTTTATTTTTAACGTAGATATGGCTAGAGTGCACTTAAATGCATGAAGAGTAAGCTGGTAAGAGAAGGAGGTTCAGTGCGGTGACCTTGAGGAAGCAGATGAAGCAGAGAGAGGGAGTGGCACCTCCCTCCACAGCAGTGGGAAGCAGGCCATGGTGGATGTTGGTGCTGGTTGTACATGGGGAGGTGGAAGGTTGAGTGAATTCCGTCCTGCATAATTGCCTCTATGGCTCTCTCATATAGAAATTATCTCCTGTAAAGAAGGGGTGACATTGAGGAGGGGGGCTTGAGGAGTACAGGGAAGCTTTAAAATTGCCACTTAGAGGAATCTCTGAGAGAACAGACAAGGGACACATAGCTTCTTGCCAATATTGAAATCCCGGTTGAGTTGAGAGTTGGGTTATTGTCAGGGCACTCATTTCTTAAGCTAACTTAAAATCTTCTGTTAAATATTTATCACATAATCTTTCATTTATTCAATATTGAACACTGACGATGTGTCTTGTGCTATGTCAGGCAAAAAGGCATAGCTGTCAAGAAGCAGAGTGTCTAAAACGTGGAATAGACACGGGCACGAATGTGTGATGATAGGATCTGTGTGGCTGTGGGGTTGCTCCAGAAGCGCCCAGGAGCTGAAGTAGAGGGTTGCCCATTGACCCTGCTAACCAGGTTTTTAAATCCATTCTTTCTTCTAGGGATTTTTTGAACTAATACCACAGGATCTCATCAAAATTTTCGATGAAAATGAGCTCGAGGTAAGAAACATTTTTACGTTAAAATGGAACTTTGGTGCTCGTTGTTTTTCTCATCGACAGTTTGGCATTTCTGATTGTGTAGCTTCTTATGTGCGGGTTGGGAGATGTCGATGTGAATGACTGGAGAGAACACACCAAGTACAAAAATGGCTACAGCGTCAACCACCAAGTCATCCAGTGGTTTTGGAAGGTAATCGAGAGCTTCTGTTTCCATGAATTACTTTCGATAGATTCGATCATACTTAATTATACTAGCTACTTTCTCATACATAAGATAGAATATAGCCCAGCAAAAGATATCTTTGATTTCGTACTATATACCTCTACCTTCTGGGTATGGTCCCAACCTCCATCCACATTAGTAGGTACTAGTAAGTAAGTAAAATGTTCAGAATCTAGCAAATGGCAGTGATAGCTAAAATAGGCACTTAGTTTCTTATTGAAGAAGGGACTCTTCCAGAGAACCTGTAACAAACTGCAGTGTATTGTCTAGGACTCCTACATGGCTCCTTTTAATGTGATTTTCAGTCGTATGGAGAAATGTGTATACCATTCAATAAGTATAATTTTTTAAAAACCACGACTCACATCTGAGAAGAAATTTTTGTCACTTTATTAGGCTTACTCTCCTATAAGCCTTGGAAATAAGGTTTTCAAGAACTTTGTAAATGACCCATAAACACAAGCTTAACTAAAAGGAACATGCAGATTTACTGAGTGGTCAGTACTGCTCTAACTAAATTCAGACAGTATACTTTTCAGGATAGTTTTGGTGCCTTTTTTCCAATGATAGTCCTAAATGCTGTTTTTATGTTATTCAGGCTGTTTTAATGATGGATTCAGAAAAAAGAATAAGATTACTTCAGTTCGTCACTGGCACGTCTCGAGTGCCTATGAATGGATTTGCCGAACTATACGGTAAGCGTTTTCCATCAGCATTTAAAAATGGGACAGTGCCAGTTGTCTTTGTCATGGCTGATTAGTCCTCAAGCCTCTGTCCTTCATACAGACGTTTAGCTTAATAAACAAGATTTTTAAATGATTTAATTAGATACATTCAAGTAGGCCAAAATATATGTACACCTTCTAATGAGATAGTAAAGGAGAAAACTGGGACATGAAATGACTTGAGTTACTTTCCCTCCTTGAATTTTAAATTTCTCCTTCCAATACAGAAAAAGCGTTGCCTGTAGTGTGAGTTTAGGGCAAGTTCCACAGAGTGTTAGTAAGTGTGCAACAAACAGCAAAGAGTGTCAGAAGAATACGTACGGGGAAATACTGGACTAAACAAAGTTAAACTGGTTCCTTTGGGTCTTCTTCAGCCTTTACTGGGGGGAAAAAAAGCAGATTTTCCAAAGTTACTCGGTCATGGAATCCTTGGGGCAGAGCGGGGCGGGGCAGGATTTGGAGGGTGGAGAGTCTCATTAGGCTACTCTTTCTCAGCCCTGTGGGATATGGACACTGGGGATAAGAATGCACCTATCTCTTGCTATTCAGAATAACTATTCATTAAGTTTTCTATAAAGTGAAATTCTGTGCTCTTTTTTTTTAAATCCTCACCCGAGGATATTTTTCCATTGATTTTTAGAGAGAGTGGAAGGGGGGGAGGGGAGAGAGAGAGAGAGAGAAATATCGGTGTCTCACATTGATCGGTTGTCTCCCACAAGCACCCCGGCCAGGGCAGAGGATAGAGCCTGCAACCAAGGTACATGCTCTTGACTGGAATCAAACAGGACCCTTTAGTCCACAGGCCAGTGCTCTATCCACTGAGCAAAACTGGCCAGGGCTAAAGTGAAATTCTATATAGCCTATCAAACTATTTTCTGGTCTATTAACCTCATAGCTCTAGAGCTGTGTTTTGTTATTAAAAAAAAGAAGGAGAAGGAGAAAGAAGAAAAAAGAAGTACTGTTTCTGATACAGAGCACAGCAATTTGTCTCCTATCTTAACATATTGTTTATGGGAATTACATTTATTTGCTTTTAGAGATCCCAAGGCTGGCCAGGTAGCTCAGTTGATTAGAATGTCGTCGCAATACACCAAGGTTGTGGGTTTGATCCCCAGTCAGGGCACATACAAGAGTCAACCAGCGTGATAGGTGGACAAGAAATCAGTGTTTCTCTCTCTGTCTGTCCCTCTCTTTCACTAAATAAATAAAGAAAGCAAGAAGAACAAGTCATTCAGAGAAAGTATTGCCAAGAGTAGAGTCCCACTCAGAGCAACAAAGATTAGACTTGTCCAGGGAAGGGGAAGTCGGGGACTGCTGCCTAGGTGGTTGCTAGGCTGACTTTCTGGGCATATAGAAAGCTCCTGTGGCCTGATGGGATTGCTAACCCCCTCTGTCTCCTCCTTGGAAAACCTGATATTGTTAAACTTCATTTATATTTGCTGGCAAAACCTATCAAGCTGCTGCCACTTTTTTAGAACAAGCATGTCAAACTCACAGCCCACGGGCCGCATGCCTCGTTTATTTGGCCCGTGTTGGCCTTTGAGTTTGCCATGCTTGATCTAGAACAGTGATGGCGAACCTATGACACGCGTATCAGAGGTGACACGCGAACTCATTTTTTTTGGTTGATTTTTCTTTAAATGGCTTCTAAATATATAAAATAAATATCAAAAATATAAGTCTTTGTTTTGCTATGGTTGCAAATATCAAAAAATGTCTATATGTGACACGGCACCAGAGTTAAGTTAGGGTTCTTCAAAATGCTGACACGCCGAGCTCAAAAGGTTCGCCATCACTGGTCTAGAATAACCAGCCACAGTGAGAAGAATGAGAGGGAGCTTTGCCGCTAGTCAGTGTGCTCATTCCCTGCCTAATTGCGTTTCTTGGCATTTGTCTTCCTGGTGTTTCACCTGACTCCCTTTCCTGCCTCTCCTGCTCTGCTGTAGCCATTCCCTAGAGGAAATCATGGCAAACACCCTTTTCATCTCTACCTCCGTTTCCCTCTTCTCTGCATCCAGGCCTATAGGCATCCACTGATTTCACAAACTTTGGAATTTGGGGAAAATATCCCACACACAGAGCCAAGATGTATTAGAATATAAATTCAAGTTACTTTGTATTTACAAAGGACAATGTTGCTACAAAATATTAATATTACTATGTGATATTATCTAGCCAATGAAAAGTATGTTGAGTGTATATAGATTGACTTAGAAGGAGTCTTCCCAATGGATTGTTCAGGTGAGAGAATCAAGAGGCTGGGAAATAGATTAGACTTCCTATTCTGGAAAACAAATGATGACAAAAGCACTAACGTGTTAACTGTGAACATAATTGTGATGTGTGAAAAGCAATGCTTTTTGAGAAAACAGGATGGAGAAAAGTATGGAAGGTTACATGTTGGGTTGTCAGCATTGATTCCCTGGGCGGTTGGAGAATGTTCAGGATTAGAGGAGGAAGAAGCTAAGTGAAAACACCAAAGGAAAAAAGAGTTTCTAGAAATATCCATAATAGAAGGAAAATGTAGTATGTGTAACGTAATCACATTCTATTTATATGCACATACACAAAAGATTCATGATGGGATGTTTACTCAGATTTAATAGTGGAATTTGAGGTGATTTTTACATCATATTTTTCTTGGTTTAATTTTTGCAGTAAATTTTATAATCAGAAAAATTAAAGCTGTTTCCAGTGGGACACCTAAAAAAAAAGAAAATGCTTGTTTTCTCTGTGTCCCTGTGAAGGAGGCGGGCTACAGAAATGCAGGGTGCCCTGGCCAGTGTGGCTCCGTTGGTTGGGCTTCATCCTATGCACTGAAAGGTGCCTCTTTGATTCCTGGTCAGGGCACCTGTCTGGTTGCAGGCTCCACCCCTGATTGAGGATGTGCAGGGGGCAGCCGATTGATGGTCCACTCTCACATCAGTGTTTCCCCTCCTTCTCCCTTCCTCTCTCTCTCAAAATCAATTTAAAAATCTTTTTTAAAAGGAGAATAAAAAGAAATGCGGGACTAGGTGCAAAAGCACCTTGGGACATCTCACCCCAGGGGCAGGGTGATTCAGTGGAAAAGGAATCCTCATTCCATGGCTGGGCAATAAAACCTTCAAGCATAGGACAGCCTTCATTTCTTTTGAGTTTTAAAAAACTAGATGAGTTCTCTGTGTGTTTAAGTTCTACAACAGAAAACGTGAGTTGTGAAATGCCTAGGGTTTCCTGTAAAAAGTAAATGAAACCAAAGCAGCTCTTCTTCCTTACAGGCTCAAACGGACCACAGTCTTTTACAGTTGAACAGTGGGGCACCCCTGAAAAGCTGCCAAGGGCCCATACGTGGTAAGCAGATTCTTACACTCTGAGAGAACAAGTTCTCAGAGAGCAAAGTTCTTTTGGTACAGAAGGCCCCTCTGTGCTATGGAGGAGGAGGAGCTGGGGGAGGGAAGGGAGGAGGAGGAAGGGGAAGAGGAGGAGGAGGAAGAAAAGGAGACAGCAACACCAACCCAAGGTAGGTTGGAGTTTGAAGTCCAGGTAGCTGCACATTGGAGATGCAACGTCAACTGTTGACCCTGTGTTGCCTCCATCGCATGAATGATGGGTCATGCCAAGAGGGTAGAACATTGCCTTTCGGAGGTTAAAGTGACAGAGGAACCCAGACATTGGTGGTGGGGGAAGGAGGACGTTACCCAGAAGTCCTGGGCAGAGTCCATGCCTAGAGCGCAGTCCTGTATCTTCATTCCCCCACAGTGATGACACGTCCTTTATACTCGCTTTGTCGGTGTCTGCCATAACCAGTTCCTCTCTGTTTTTCAGCTTTAATCGACTGGACTTGCCACCCTATGAATCATTTGAAGAATTATGGGATAAACTTCAGGTGGCGATTGAGAACACTCAGGGTTTTGATGGAGTTGATTAGATTACAAGTAACAGTCTAGGGTGTTTTACTGCCACGTTTTTGTAAGCAACATCTTGACTTAAAATTTTCCGGGGAACTACTAAAACTTAGCCATTGATTCTTCCCAGATATTGGAGAAAATCACAGAAATGCTTTAGGAGAAATAGCGTGACGACTTTACCAGTATTTCATCCCCTTTAAAAGAATGTGTTGCATTTACACAGTTGTTTCATTCTGTCTTTAGACTTCACACTCCAGGACCTAAGTCCTTTGTGCCTGAAATAGTGAATGTGTCCTTAACATTTACCTCTTTTCCAGTATTCGCCAGGCAGTCAGTCCTTTCTTAAACTACTGAAATGATAACTGTGAAATATTTGTGATAAGTGTCATGTGTGAAGCGTTTGATGCTTTTTGAGAAGGAAAACCCAAATTTGGAAAAGGAGACTTAAAAATTGAGTAAACCACACTATATTTAGTGCTGCCTACAGTTATTTATTGCTCTGTAGACCTACCTAATGCACCGTAATGCCCAGATTTTTGGAACAACCTTGGAAAGTGTGTTACTATATTTTTAGTCAGCTGACTCACTGGCAATAACAACAACAAAAATGGTTTACTTCTTCATTTTAGAAGTATTTGGTTTTTGTTCATATGTGGTTTTGCTCAACAAAGTGGTGTATAAGACGTGAAGCAAATTCAGATTTGCAGAGGGTGGAAAGTATTAACGCCGTCCTCTTGCCTCCATATCCTTATGGTTGGTTCATCGGAGCAGTCATCACTCTCATGTTGTAGTTTAGTTCAAAGAATTCCTTCTTCCCGCAGTAAGCTGAAGCTCCACAAAGCAGTATTTCTCAGTGTGTCTCGAAGAGCTAAGTTCAATGTATAGTACTTGCCGTTACTAGACACTCTTTACACTTGCACAATTATGTAGTAACTCTATGTTTACAGGGTTTATTATGTTTACACATGAAGCTAATTCCTGTAGTTGCCTTTTTATATTTTTAGTATGTCACTTTAGTCATAAAACCAAATAATTTGTTAAAAAGTAACCAAAGAATAGCTATAATGCATAATTTGTATTAAATTTATTACCACATTTCTTAATGCTTTTTAAAAAAATATACTGTTTACTTTGAAAGTGACGATGTTTTACTATAACTCCCAAACTCTTTAGCAAAATGTTACAGATAGAATCCTACTTGAATCAAATTCAAGTACCTGACAACCACCTCCATCCCACAAACGCGTATGAAATGTCTGCTGTGCACATCACACTGTGCGAGGCCCTGGGTGAGAGCCGTCAGCTCCCGAGAAATCTAGCTCAGCCCTCATCCGCAGGAACTCACCGCATGTGAAAGCATTTTTACACCCTCAGCGAAGGGGTGAGCAGAACAAGGCGGAAGGGAAAGTGTCTCCATGTGCCTGCCAAGCAGCGCACCAAGACTGTGTTTCCATCAGAATGATTCTATAGAAAACACTCTTGCGAAAAGTTAAACCTGTTTCTCAATATGGTATCTTGGGGATTTAGGAATCATTGTAAATATCATATAAGTGTTATGAATCCTCTTAAATACATATATGTACATATCCTCTGAGAGTTGTAAGAGGTGCTTCTGGCTATTGGTTTCAGTTGGTTGGTATAATAAGATGGTTACCTGCTGGCCCCTGGTAGAGATCTCGCACGTGACAGTAGCAAAACCACTTTCCAAACAGCTCAGCTTCGGGGAAGGAACTCACAGGTCACTGCACTCTGGGTTTCATCTCCACTTGGGCTAACCAGCGTTCAGGCAAGATCAGCAGGCAGGTGTAGTCCGTAATTTTTATCACCCACCTGCTGTTTAAACTGAAGCAACTTATTCAACCTCTCTGGGCTCCCTGTTTCGTCACCTGTCAGATGGGAATCATCGTGCCCACCCTGAGCGCCACGTCAGATGGCCGTTTCGGAGAGGTGTCTTGTAAAGTATTCTACAAGCAGAAGATGCTTTGTGTCGGCCGTCAGATTTTGTCAAATCAGGCGTGGACACTCACTGTACTCCCAAAGAAGGATCTCTTTATTTAAAAATAAACGGACTGCTAATAGACAAGGAAGTAGGAACATCTCTGATACCGAATACATACACACATACATGCATACATATGTTTATCGATGCATGAGTCTTACCATCAGAATCCATTGTCTCCACGTCAGCAACGTAATTAACATGGGCCAGTCAATTTTGGAATGTTCTCATTATGTAGAACTGAATGTGAAAACTAGTTTTGTTAAAACAGAATTTTCCCACCTGCGTGCTTAAATGTCACTTCTGTAAAATACCGTAGCCGATATCAGAGCTTGAGAAAATATGAAGCTCGCTGTTCATCTGGATGATCCTGTAATAAGACCAGGGTGTTAATAAGACCGGACTCACCCCCACCAGCCCCCAGCCACAGGCCATCATCCCCCTGTCTCCCCGCGGAGGGCTGACAGTCTGGGAGGAACCTGTCTCCAGCAGCACAGACAGAACAGCATCTCTCATGCATCCTCTGGCTGGAGAGTAGGTAGGGTCATTTTCTTAAAGCAAGGAGATCATATTTTTCTAGAAATGATAAGCACACAATTTTAGCCTGTATTTTCTCTGTAATCAAACAAATTTTAACATCGACATAAAATTGTATTACAAATGCGTTTCCTCCTAACTGAAATGTAAATGCTATTTGTTTTCATTCTTTATTTATAATACTAAAATTATTCCATATAATTATTAAGTTAAACACAATTTGTCTGATTCTAAGCCATTTGACCTTGTTTTTAAAAATCCAATATGGTAAAATCTATATATATCAAGATTAGTGTATCAACATTTATTGAATACTTTAAAGTATAAAATCATTTTTTTAAGATCTTGATGCCTCAAATAAAGTTCTATTCTCATTAAAAAAACAAACAAAACAAAACTGTGATTCCTTTTAAATAGAAATGCCTCCAAGCCAGTGTTCTGGGTGACGTCTCCTGGCCTAGTTCTTTGCAGCAGCACAGATGGGACAGTTCTTGAATTCTGCGTTTATATCTGATGAACTAACATCATTACATATTATACACTATTCACCATAGGTAGTCTCCACTTTACAAGCAGGTCATGTTCCAAAAGTCTGGTTGTTAGCGAGATATCCAGAAGACAAAATAATAAAGTTACAAATGGACTGGATTTCAGGCACTGCCTGCTGGTCATTAAAAAGGCCAGCCTTGAACCTAACCGTGGTCGACACCATCGTTTCTAGGAGAAGAGTTCTGAGAGTTAATTCAGAACTGGGGACCTTTGCCTCATTCGTCTCGGGCACCTGGAAGTTTCCCAGCTCGAAAGGAATCCACTCCCCTCCCTGCGCCAGCCTTCTGTTTCTGCTAAAATCCAGAGATTCCTTGGGACTCAGGCCACCGCCTTCTCTGCTTCCACCCCTCTCCTCGGGTGCTAACCGGCTCTAGCATTGGCTAGCCCACACCATGCATCACCTAAAGACAAAGGGCTTCCGTAGCTTTTCGTTTTTGAAAGTTAAAGATGATCACTACGTTAGCACCCGGAGTAGGTGCTGCTAGTCTCTCCTGCACTCGATTCCATGCCGTCCCTCCAGCCCCCGACAGTGTTTCCTTTCGGTCAACAAATCCGATCAGGTTGCTCTACAGTCAAAACTCCTCTGGGGGCCCTCAGAGCCAGAAACAATGCAGCCCAAACCTGCTGGCATGAAATGCAGTCTGTCCTCTGCATGAGCTCCACCTTCTGTCATCCTCACTCCGGCACTGGTGCTCCACCCTCTCCAGCCCCTAATCATCTCAGAGTGTCCGGTGCCTGCTTTCCTCCCTCACTTGAGAAATCACTCCTTTCGGGCCAGTGGAAAGGGGCCGTTTGATATTTACTTGCATGAATGGCATTTCAATGGTATTGCAGTTCTTTTTTTTTTACATAATTGACTCCCACACCCTTTTGGGTAGCTTGAGAACAAAGACTACTTTGTATACATCTTTTTAATATGTTCATTTACCAACACATAAATATTTGATAAATTGACGATCTGATGAGTACTGTTTGTGTATACAGTCCATGCAATGCACATGCTCTGAGCACCAGTGTCCCCAGCACTGTACACTGTACAACATGCAGGAAGTTCCGTGTTTAGGGGGACATTGGGGTCTAAATAAATACACACACGGGGGGGGGGGGGACTTGAGTGAGATCCTGCTGAGAGCCCAGGTCTGCAGTAAACATTTAAGTGTATCCCATTTAATCTTCATGAAAACTCAGCGAGGCAGGTTTTATAGGCTCAAGAAGGGCAAGAAATTCACCTGAGGCAACACAGCTTGCACACTCAGTGGGTTATGAACTACAACAACAACAAAAACTATGGAACCCTGCAAACAAATTACCAAGGTGTACTAGTATTTGTTTTCTATTGCTGCATAACAAATTCCGTACTATAAATTTAGCAGCTGAAATCAACACCCACTTTTTTTTATCGATTTCAGAGAGGAAAGGAGATGGGGAGAGAGAGAGAAACATCAACGAGAGAGAATAATTGACTCACTGCCACCAGCATGCCCCCTACTGAGGACTGAGCCTGCAATCCTGGCGTGTGCCCCCTCAGGAAATGACCTGTGATCTCCTGGTTCAGAGGTTGATGCTCAACCACTGAGCCACGCTGGCAGAGCACAGCACCCATTTTTTATCTCACAGGTCAGTAGCTTAGAGTCTACGTGGGCTCAGCTGGGTTCTTTGCTATGGTCTCACTCGGCCAAAGTCAAGTTGTCAACCAGTTGGGCTCTTAGCTGCTTCCATGATACCTTCAGGTTGTTGACAGAACCCAAATCCTTGTGGCTTAGGTCCCCATTTTTTGGCTGGCTGGCAGCTGGAGCCACTCTAAACTTCTAGATGCCACATACATTCGTCATCACTTGGCTCCCTCTATCATTCAGTCCTTATGCCCAGGGTCTCCCCTGTGTCCCCTCCTGTGTAACCTTCTGCCACCGGGTAGAGAGGGTTCTCTAGTTTTCAAGACTCACGTGAATAGATGAGGCCCGCCCCGATAATCTCCCCTTTCGAGGACCACTGTGCCATAGGCGTGACAAGCAGGGAAAAGAGGTCTTCGCGCATTCACAGGTTGCATGGATTGGGGGCTTAGAACCCTTGGGGACAATTCCTAGAAATGTTGCTTCCCGCATAATGTAAGCATAGCAACAGATTATGGAGATTCGGTTTGAAAAGCACTTAAATATGTCTAATTTTAGAGCGCCCAGTTCCGTTTTTCATTCTCAGCCAATGAAAGGCAAGATAAACTGATGCTAATATCAGCCAGTAGGATTCAGCCACAGCTCCGTCGATTCACACGTCACTGTCCTCAGAGGAGCCGCTGGTCTGTGTTTTTCTCAGCAGCATCGAGGTTGAATTGGCCTGAAATTAGATTCAACTCATCCTTAGGAGAGTCCTTATTATTTACACAGAAATGAAAGGCCACAGCTGCTCTCTTTATTTATTTAAAGGGTTGGTATTCTTTCCAATGAAATCAGGTTCTGGATAATGACATGGGTGCAAATCAAAATAGAACCAAGAAGGGAAGAAAGCCGTTTACAGCCCACAGTGGCTGGTCATTTCATCCTTCAGTCTCCAGGAAGGAAGGTGAACAAATGCCCTGGTCCCTAGAAGGCCCTGGGCAATCAGGCAAGTCTGGAGCAGAGTTTTCTCTTTGGAAAGCTAATCAGAGATTAAAGCCATAACTGTAGGTTCATGAACATACTCGGCTCATCATTTAGATTCTCATTTAATTTCTCTTATGAAAAATAGTCAATTATTAGCAAGGCAAATGCCATGCCTTCCTGAGAGTTTTCTGTAACATATATTTTATAAATGAGAAACGCAAGCATATTCTCTCAAATTAATATGAAGTAATGAGCACAGTGATCTAAGGGTAACTTCAGTTCAAACAAACCTGATTTTCAGTGGTGCTGGAGTTGAAAACTAGGATCCAAATGAATGACTTCGTTAAACTCTGTCATTGGGCATTAGACCAAGTGCAGCATAAAGATTCTTCCAGATTTACCCAGCCAGTATGGTTCAGCGGTTGAGCTTCGACTCAGGAACCAAGAGGTCTGTGGTTCGATTCCGGGTCAGGTCACATGCCCAGGTCGTGGGCTTGATCCCCAGTAGGGGGCATGCAGGAGGCAGCAGATCAAATCAACGATGTTCCTCTCTCATCGATGTTTCTATTTCTCTCCCTTCCTCTCTTTCTAAAAATCAATAAAAACATTATATATATAAAGATTCTTCCAGACTTGATGCTGGTGAAATATCTTATGGTCATCCAAAAATCCAACAGGGTGACCAAGTTCTCAGTGATAAATGAGTAGTTGCCAACTGGGTTTCCTTTTTCAGTACTGCTGCTTGTTGGAATGGTGTATTGCTTGTGCATATATATGTTGATGGCGGGCTTTAAGCTATGAGGAATTCTGTCACGTTTTATCCTTGTCTTCAAAAGAAGTGTGAGAAGGGGAAAAAGAAAGCTCTATGAACTCAGTCCCTACCAGGATTCAATATCTGTGGTTATTGAGACTCAGCTTACATACTTGTCCCAT